AATAATATTTAACAGCTTATACATTTCAGGAGACTTGTGCGTAAAATTGTGGCAATTTTCTAAAATTTCGTATGGTTGTCTTTTTTAAAATTAATTTATTACAATATTTATTTAATTAGTAAGTTATAATTAAATTAGAACCAAATCTTGTTTGCATAATTAGATAATTTTCTTAAAACAATGTAATTAAATTATTTTTACTTATAAATTTTTCCTTCAACAAGCGTGCTGCCACGATTATTTATTTATTAACATTTTGATTCACACAAAATAAGGTACATACATACGGCGGACTTAATGCCATATGTCATTTTCTCCCGGTCAACGATTATCATGTTTTTATTGCTTCATTTTATTTATTTATTTATTATTACATTTCAGTACAGTTCAAAACATCTTTTGCACCATTAAATCGCAGCTGGTTTGTATTGGTACTCACATTCGCTTAACAAGTAATTTATAAACCCATTGAATATACCTACAAATGACAATAGATGTTACATTTTAAATAAGTTAATTTAAGACCTTTTAATAGTAAAAGTAAAAATTAGCAAAGCATACACGAATTCATTAAAATTTCAGTCATTTTTTTAAATAAAGAAACCGATACCGACCCGCACGGTACCAACTAATGTAAAACTTTTACAGTCTACCCCACAGTATGCTACATTCGCATTATTTTAAGTGTGGGAGAGCCATGCTTCCGCACGAATGGGCCGGCTCGACCGAAGTGATACCACGGCCTCACAGAAAACCGACGTAAAGCAACGCTTGCGTTGTGTTTCGTCGTGTGAGTGAGGTTACTGGAGGCCCAATTACCCTCCCTTTCCCCAATCTCCCCAATCCCTGAATCCCCAACGATCCTCAAACTCCTAATCTCCAAAAAGCCGGTAACGCACTTGTAACGACTCTGGTGTTCCAGGTGTCCAAGGGCGACGCCGCCCGATTGCTTAGGTGATCTGTCTGATCGATTAACGGCTTATGCCATAAAAAATATCTCGTGGAACTTTTCAATTATAATATACAGGCTGTAGGCAGCTTTTGATGTTGACGAGAACCGGTTGTATATTGAGATCATTCTTTATTTTAAAAAGTGATAGCAATTTTAATGAATTCGATTATACTTTACTCATTTTTACTTTTACTGTTAAAATGTCTTAAATTAACTTATTTGAAATGTTATATCTATTGTCATTTATAAGTATATTCAATTAGTTTATAAATTACTTGTTAAGCCAATACAAACCAGCTGTGGTTTAATGGTGCAAAAGATGATTTAAACTGTACTGAAATGTAATAATAAATATATAAATAAAATAAAGCAATAATAAAGTGATAATCACGGCAGCACGTTTGTTGAAGGAAAAATTTATAAGTAAAAATAATTTAATTAGATACACGTTTTATACCCGTATTAATTGATTTGATACCCGTTTTAAGAAAACTATCTAATTATGCTAACAGGATTTGATTCTTATTTAATTATAAATAGCTAATGAAAATAATGTTGCAGTAAATTAGTTGTAAAAAAGACAAGCATTAGAAATTATAGAAAATTGCCACAATTTTACAATTTCTTTGAGTCGAACGCACAAGTCTCCTGAAATGTATAAACTGTTAAATATTATTTTAATGTTTCTGTTCATCGTCGCTGACTGTAATGCAGGCTGGGGTAAACTAGATTATTTATTATATTGCTTTCGTATAAC